GATAATTTTGGGTACATTCTATAATATTATATATTCATTATATAAAAAAAGTGTGATTAATGAGATTTATTTTCATTAATGATAGAAATGAGATAAAAATTAGGATAGAAAATAAAGAGCACTAATGTCTAACACATTACCGCACTAACCATGTCAAATGATTCAATGATTTAATTAGCTAGGTTATTGTAGGTGAGTGGTTTGGTAGGGATGCAAAGAGATCGGGTCGGATTTGAATCAGGGTAAATTCGAATTCGATTTGATCCGAAGATCTGATCGGATCTCATAAATATTGATTCGAATCTGAATCCAATCAACATGTTGGATATCCAAATCTAATACTATTTGATTTAATTTAAAAATAATAAATTATTAAAAGGAAAAGAAAATATAATAGTTAAAATAAAGAAAAACAAAAATATAAGTATTTTTTCAACTATTTTCATCATATAAGTTTACAAAAATGCAATATAAATAACATCTTTATAAATAAATAATAAATAAAATATATATTTTATATAAATGATATATATATAATTGATTTGACCAAAATATTAAAAACCAATATTCAAACAATATATTGGAATTACATTTCCTCTTGGTAAAAAAGTAATTTTTATTATCTCATAAATTAAATAATAATTAATAATAAATAAAATATAGATTTTTTTTTATAAATTTTATAGAAAAATTTGAACATGCATTAATATTATGTATTCTTCATATTAAAAAAACATGTTTGAAAAATAAGAATTATTGTTAATAAAGATAGAAATGGCTAAAATACAAAGAAGAAAAATGAATTAATGTCTTAATCGTAGTCTATTTTCTTGGATAAATAGGTTAATGGTTCAACTATTAAAGTCATTTGTTGCTTCCTATTATCATCATCACCATTTCATATTGCCATGTGCAACACATGTACACTTTTACTAGTTAATAGAAATTTATAAACAATTTCTATATACTAAAATTTGGATTTAGAAACGGTCAAAAATACAAGCCAATATCCATGAGATGGCAATAAGTGTTGAACGAATATTGGACATTATCATTGAGAAGACTCTAAAATAAAGTTAAAATTCCCTAACTACACCTATGGGTGTCCATGAAAAACCAAAAAATCGAAAAACCGAACCGAGCCAAGAAAACAGAAACACAAAATGCGGTTAACCAAACCGATCAGTTCGGTTTCAATTTGGATTTTTTAAAAAACCGAAGGATTGCTTCAATTTCCGATTAACCTACAAAAAACTGATGGTTAGCTAAACCAACCGATACATATATATACATATATATATATATATATATTTTATATATATTTTTAATATATGCCACATATTTTCTGTATATTATATATAAATATATATCCATTATATATATATATATATATAAATATATACTTTTATTATATTTATAATAATCTATTTATAAATATATATTATATATTATATATTATATATCATTTATTATTTATAATATAATATTATACATATATTTATATAATATATATTATAAATATAAAAAAACTAAAAAATTGAAGAACCGAACTAGTCAAAAACCAAAATCGGTGGATTGGTTAACCGATGGTTTGGTTAACTAAACCGTGGGCATCCTAACTGCATCCTATGTTTAGTATCAATGTCTATCAGCATTAAAGAATGTACAACACGTGTTGAGACTTGTCCCTAGAAAAGAGAGTCCCTTCCTCCACAAAAAAAAAAAAAAAAATCCATCTTTAAATTCGATTTTGTTTAGGGTGTGTTTGGAAACAATGCAAATGGAGTGTAAATCCCGATTCATGGTAAATTTGCACTCTGGTTCACTTTTGCATGTGTTTGGCAACATTATATTTATGCATTGACAAATGACAGATCAATGCATATTTACATTGATAATAAGATGTAAAAGTACATCAATAAAAAACAAGTAAATTTGCATTCAAGTGGACTTTTGATAAAACAAAAAAGCATATGCCTTATTGGAATTCGTGTTTGCATCCATTACAGCTAAAAGTCTATTTGGTAAGAAGGTAAATTTGGCAGTGCAAAACTAACCCAATTTTGCAATTTATATGAACTGTTTTACACTTTACATATTTGCATTCACACTTATTTGCATTGTTTCCAAACACAGTCTTAGCAAAATGAAGTTAAATAGTGTGATTTCCAATAAAGATTGGCTAGAAAAAATAGTTTTATATGAAAAGAATAATTAAAAATTTAGGACCCATTAATATTTTAGATTTTTTTTTATTTTTAAGTTAATTTTGAAGTTATAAAATTTCTAAATACATAAATGGGATCTAATTTGTTGGGGCGAAAATTAATTAATCATTCTCTTAATTTTTACATGACAAAATGTTAACCTAGCTCAATTTATCAAGTTTTATGGAAAAAAGAGTGCCTTGTTATGGGATTGAGCCCATAATTTTTCTGCATAATAGCCAGTTTGGCGCGTGGTCGGCTCTATGCCACACATTTGAACAGAAAAAGACAAAAGAGAAAAAGAGAACGGCTGAAATGACTGAAAAGATATTGGTTGAATAAAATTCTAATAGATTTGTTTCATGTTAATAGTGAAACTTTGTTAATATAATTTGGATTCTTTTTCTTTTTCCTTTTTAAGGGAAAATTATACTTTATCACCTCAACTTTGGTGTAGTGTAAGTTTTTATCTAAATTTTCAAATGTGTCATTCTGGTACCTAAATTTTTAAAAAGTGTCAAGTTGGTCTCTACCGTTAATCAATCATCCGTTGAAAATGTCAAAACTATCATTCAAAAGAAAGACCTTGTTCATTGCCTTCTACCTTGAGACTGAACCAGTTGAGGTGTTTGATATTCTAGACTAATGAAGTCATTGTCTAATTATTTCTTTGCTTTCAGTTATTGTTTCCTTCTATCATATTTCATGTTTTTTTCTCTTTTTTTCTTTGAAGATAACTGGTTCCGTCTCAAGGTAGAAGACAATGAATAGTGTCTTCTTTTGAAATGTACTTTTGATATTTTCAACAATAACTGATGATCAATTAATGACAAGGACCAACTTAACATTTTTTTTTAAAGTTCAAGTACTGCAGTGACACATTTAAAAATTCGGATACTAACTTAACACTACCCCTAAATTTCAGGTACTAAAATAAAATTTTCTCTTTTTTTTTTCAATTCAGGCAAGCAAAACAATTATATTAGAATTCAGAAACTAGACTCTCCAAGGAGGGACTGAAGCCGCCCAGTTCGAAAGTAATCCTGGCCGAAGCCAAACAACAAAATACTGTTTTTCTTGTGAAGGAATGGATATAAACAAATAAGTAATCTACATTGTTTATTTAGGTATAACATTTAGTTTTTATAATGAGCTCCAAAATCCTTTTTTTTTACATAATTGAAATAAATTGTCATTAGTGAGTAATATCCAGCTATTAGTTTCTTAACTTTCTTATTTCTGAGTTGTCCATCAATGGAAAATATACTTGAGTATGCTGTCACTGTATTCATTCCAAGTTGAAGGCTTGAACAAATGAGGTGGGGTCATTCCTTGAATTTCCATCCCAAAGTTAAAAGAAGAAAAAGTAAAATTTATGTCCGAAAACTAAGAATTCTTTTTTCAATCGAACGGGGCCGTTTGGATAAGCTTTTGCTTTTGAGATTTGAGATGGAAAATGTAAAATTGGTAAGAGCTGCCTGCATGATATAATCTAAAGTCAAAACACTTGTAAGACACAAAAGTACAAAATCCAAGGGCCAATTGGGGAGGGATGAACTTTGATAGAGCTGCTATAGTTGAGCCGCTTTGAAAAAGCCAGATAAAACAAGTTTAGCTGAATGACTGTCGTATGGGCTTTCGAGTTCTTGCTTTTTTTAAACATTAAAAGCACAAATTAATGCTGAAGCTTATCCAAACCCAACCTTAGTTAGTATTAATAGTAATAGTGTGAAAAATTGGCAGTAGCAATCAGTCAAAATCAATGACCTAATTCAAAAGAAAAAAAAAAAGGCTTAATCTAATCCATCAAGAGTTTAGAGTCATTCACCTAAACCCAAATTTACTAATGCCAAGCTGATGTAGCCTAAACTTTGTTCGAAGAGGCAAAGAGTACTGTGTGGTCAATTCAACAAAAGGGAAAGGAGGAGGAGACAGAGAAGGAAAAATGGGTGGCGTGAAAGCAATCAAATATAAACAAAGGAAAGCACGACCACGAGGAGGAGAGAGGAAGGGAGGGAGGGCATCACTAAACCCACCACCACCTGTTCAGTCCTCCCCACTTGCAAACCCCCAACTTGCAACTTGCAAACACCTCTTCCCATCCCCACCAAATTCCCAAAAACAAATTTAAGTGGCCAAAGCGAAACCCCCTTCCTCAACTTGCACTTTCTTTATTCAACCCCTCTCCCCCCACTTGGATTTTTTCTATCCCCAACTTGCGTAGCAGCTGTTGATTCCCATTCACACAATTACTTGTTTATTTCCACATGCATCCATCCCATGCATGCATGCCCTCCAGGGGACAATTTCTCAGCTTCTCTAATGCCCCGCTAAACTCAACGACCCTTTCTCTTTATTTAACTATAACCCGAGTCCCCGAGTGAGTCCGACCCGACCTTCCATGCCCCCCCCCAAAGGCCAAAGGACAACATGAAAACTAGAAAGAAAGAACTCTTATATCCAATTAATTATGCTAATTAATTGATTGTAACAGCGACACGACAAAAAACGATACGAACCACGAGGGGGCGAAGGCGATTAGGTTCTAGACAAAAAACGATACCTTGCTGTATTGTCAGTACTTAGTAGCGCATTATTAGCATGATTAAGTTCAATTAAATTAAATCAACTGAGCTGGAACTGGATTTGCCCGATACGATACGCAAGTACCGTATCAAGTACTGAGCGGTACGAAACCAATTTGCTTCAAGACTCAATTTCAATAAAATATAATTTCGAGGGCATATAGATAGTAACAGTCCAGGGCTATTTTTGTCACATCGAAAATTCACATGCAAGGGATGCAACTCAGACTACTGCCTTCCTGTTTGGGCAATCAATTTTTTTGAAATTACACAAAAACCATGGGCACGGAGAAAAAACCAGATGCAGATAGAATTCACATTGTGTATGTAGTTAAAATAAAATAAAAAAAAAAAAGATAACGGGGTGATGGTGACGGAATGACGCAAACAAAGTGTTCCGGTATCGGCAGATCGACGGAACGGATTTTCTCGGAAAACAAGGTGTCGCATTCTTCTTTACATCATCACGGGCTCAAGCAAAATCATGGGTAGACGAACGAAGCTTCATAGCGATCAGATCTTTTCCCTTTTTTTTCTTCCGGGCTGCGATCAACAATGGATATCAATTGGACCCACATTGGAAAAATCCAAGGAAAGGAAAGGCCGTCACAGATCGGAAAAGGGGGGTTGTCACGACGATGTCCGGTTCCGGCCGGCTAAGTTCTCGGCAATCTGAGCGAGTGATTGTAAGTTGCAGCGGACTATGGTGTCGACGAACATACATGTGTCTTCGCTGGTATTCCCTGGTGGGATGTCAACGACGTACGATTCGACAACAACGGTTCCAGCGCCAGTAGAGGAAGGGTGGAGAGTGGTGACTGATCTGTAATTGGAGAGGCGATGTTCCCCACCGATGACGCTGAAGCTAAGGACGTGGCGCTCGTCGTCGAGGATCTCAAGGCGCTCGGTGCTTTTCACGGCGGGGAGACCAGAAACGACATGGACCTCTCGGAGAGTACCGACATCACCGTCTCCGACGAGAACGTGGCAGCTCTTGACGAAGTGCTTGTAGGCTTGAGGATTGTCAAAGCGGCGGACGACGGACCATACGGTGGAGACGGGAGCGGCGATGGGTTGGATGACGGAGGAGCAGCACTGGTTGGGCCCAACGGCGTGGGTGTGGTAGCGCGCGATGTAGTCGGGGACCGGAATGGCGCAGGATAGAGGGACCCGGCGGGAGAGTGTGGTGGCTTGTGATTGTTTCTGGGAGAGAACGTTGGTTGTGTTGGTAGCGGAGGTGATTGTGTTATTGATTCTGTGGACTTGGAGAGATGATTTGGGAGGTGTTGCCGGCATTATTAATTGTTCTTGTTTCGCTGTTTCTCTTCCCCACTCACTCTGTATATCTTCAGATTACAAGACGAAGAAGAAGGTGACGATGAATTTGGGTTTGAGGGTTTATGAGATGTGTTTGTCAATATATATATAGAGAGAGAGAGAGATGCTGAGGAAGAGAATTAAAAGTACAAGGTTACAAGGCTGAAGAGAGAGAGAGTGGGAAGGAGGGAGGGGTTAGTCACCTTTGAACTTTCCGAGAGGTGGTTTGGGTGTTTTTTCCAATGGGTGATGTTGAGCGCTGAGAGAGTTGGTTGGCTTCTAAAATCTAAAGACGGTTAATTAAATAAAGTTCATGTGGGTAATAAAATAGATGCAACTTGCTCGGATGGAAGTTACAAGAATAGCCCTAGTCTTGGAAGTTACTCCAAATTACAAGTTTGTCCTCACAAAATGTTACAAAGACCAGGTACAATACAAACCACTTGGGGAGTTGGGACCGTGGTTGAAACTTGAAAGCAGTTTAGAGCACCACAACACATACACAATTACACAACCCCCTCGACCCTCTCTCTCTCAAGGGATAAGCGTGATCTGCCGGCCGCTGGCTCTCGTCTTCCCCAGTTGTGCTGCCGCTCTGGGCGGAGGTGACCGAAAACTCCACCTCCACCACCACCATCAGAATTAATCCAGGGAAGCCTGTCCTGTGCTCAGTGCCCAGTGCCCCTGCCCCTGCCCCTCTGGTCTGGGGACCTCTCCACATGGGTTGTTGATTTAGAGGAAAATTTGCTAGTTGCTTGCTTTTGCTCCACCTCGTACCATGGTGTCACACGCCCGCTTCATGGTGCACTGCCCAATACAAATTGAGAGTTGAGAGAGAGACTAGTTGTAGTTGCAATTTGCAAATTGCTCGTTTCCCATTACAGGATTTCAAGAGAAGAGAATATTCAACAACCCATCTTCTCCGTACTTAATCTTAACATCTGGCAATCCCAACTGGATGCACGGCACCAATGTATCCATGATTCCATGCATCGACGGAATTACCTTGTTATATTTTACATGCATATACAATATGAATTAAAGAGATCATAAACTATTGTTGTTGGGGCGCAAATAAAAAAGAAAAATGGGTTGGTGGGTACATGGCAGACTGTACAAATGGGCCATTAGTCAAGTGGGTCTCGTCCCAGGTGGACGATTTCGATCGCCTTTGTCATACGTCCACTTGGTAATAAAATCTGTTAGCCAAGGTTTTTAATAAAGCCTGCAACAAGAGAATAAAATACATCATGGCTCTTCAATGCAAGAAGGATGTATTTTCCTGCAGAGGAATCAGGCCAGACCCCAGAAAGTATGGTTTGTGGGCATGGCCACATATGACACAACCATAAATCTAGGGTCCACATTCTAAATAAATGATAGCCCACTGAAACCACTTCATTATGCCCTTCTCCAGGTGGCTAAAACCCATCCATTTGTGGAGGGGGGGAATTGGAAATCCTTTGTTTGGCAAGCATGGTTATTTTCCTTGGGTAAAAATAAGAGGAACGTAGGTCGTTTCTTATCTTTAGTTGTACAGTAACAGTGGGGAGATATCTCGTAGTTCGAGTCGAAAAGGCGCGTCGGCAGGCTGTCACCGACTCACTCAAGCTGTAAGAGGTCAGAGGGTCAATAAAGTCATTTAAAGGCCGAGTACGCATTTTGGATTGGTATGGCCGTTACAACTTACAAGGAGTGGCACTCACGTAATTCTAGACAAAAGAAAAGGACATTTGTTCAAATGGGCACCCAAAGAAATAGGCAACTAGATGACCCACTTGCAACCGAGGGCCGTAAGCAGGTGGATAAGATAAGCATCCTGTTTTTTTTTTTTTTTTTTTTCTGTTTTTGTTATTTTTTTAACTTTATAAAAAAAAAAAAGAAAACTGATTTTCCAGTTTTACGAGGGCAGAAAAACTGGCAGGTTGGGATGAAGATTGGCCCGATTTTTTTGGGCTATATTGGGCTGGACCCTCTTTCTCCACGTCTTCCGCCAAAATAGACGCAATTTTACCGTTTCATTACTGTATGACCCTTTCTCACCCACTTTGCATCAACTTGAACAGTTAAAGAATTAGAGGGATTGAGACCCTCACTCAACATCCAAAGATGGTTGTGACTTGTGAGAGAAGACCTACTCAGTCTCAACTTGTGTTAAATAGCTCTCAACCAGTTGATGCTAGTGGAGGAGAGACACAATTCTTGTGTTAATAGCTCCACTAGTTGTTCTCTCTTTCTTTCTTTTTATTTATTCAAGCAACTTGGTCATTCTTTCTCAAGCCTGCTGGTTTTGAAACCATACCTCTTATCTCTACACTTGCAAATTCCCAATTGAAGGAACTAAGCAACTTGTGATTTTTCTAAACATTTGTACGTAACCCAACTTTATTAATTGATACAGCAAATTATACCGGTCTCCAGATGGGCTTCAGAGCTGGGTCTATGTCTTTGATAGGGTCTGCCTTGATCACAGTCTTAATTAGTGTTTTGTTTAGTAAACTTAGCAGTTTGCAGACTTTGAATCCAACGCTTGGTCGTTCTTCCGTATTAGGTTACCCAACTGTAATTAGGATGGAGACGCTTTCCTGGTAAAAAGGGGAAAATTTTTTGTGAGGAATTATTGGTTGTGGAAATGCAAAGAAAGAATCCTAGACAAAGCATGCATGCATGGTTGAAGAGGCAAATGAATTATAAGGCAGAGGGATCTTTGACTGTACAAGAAAACAAGAAAGATTGAGGTGGGGGCTAGCTAAACTCTGGAGGTTCTCTTAAAAGGAGGAAAGAATCTGGACTCTGGAGGCTTAGCAAAGAGTAAATGTGGATTAAGCCCAAGAAACCCATGAGTTTTTAGGGTTTGGTCAAGACCAATAGCCGTTGTGTGCATGCATATAATGTTTGTAACTAGTTGGACTTTCTTAATTCTTTTCTTCCTTGATAAGGCAAACAATTAGTTAATTAATTAATGAACCCCTGTTAATATTTTAATCTCTAATCCATTTCTGTCCTTAGAGAAGCTGCAACAGACATCAAGCCAATGGAGCCAAGATAGAAAGGCTATACTCATTCCAAGACAAAATCCAGCTAAATTATAATTTATGAATAAAATTACATTTGCTATAGAGAAGGAGAAGAGCTACTCTTTTGTCATTTTTCTTATTGTTTTCAGGCCAGCTATGTTGTTCATACTCGGCAAGCTTCCGATCCCATTCATACAAATCTTCCTACACGTAGAAACGGTTTCTGTGTTCCATATAAGATGTCTTTTTTTCTTTTGTGGTTGTTGATAGAATAACCTAATGAGGTCATCTGGGGATTTTGTTTTCCTTTTCTGAAACAAACTTATCCCCAACTTCTCTCTTAACAGCTGGAAATGAACCCATTTAATCTTAAATGAAATGATTTTATTATCTTTATTTTTTCACGTGGCAACCACACCGATTATTTGTTTCTTTCCCAGATATAATCGGTGTGGTTATCAGGAAGCTAGCCCCTTCTGGTTCTATCAAAAAACCAAGAACAAGGGCCCATGCCAGTAGGCAAATTTTTTAATATAACTCTAGCTTATTGCATATATATATATGCAATACGTTCACTACATACATAAATGAGTTTCTTGTATTAATTTATAGAGTTATAAGTATATATAGGTACACTCACAGTCAGTCCACGTCAGCCATACCATGCATTGCATTCTTGGTTAAAAACTTGCCACGTGGAAAGGAGACATAGAGATATATGGACCCCTTGACCTAGCTACCAACTCAAGTACCCAACTCAACCTACACCCGAGAAAATTATATAAAAAAAAAAAAAATTGCAAACCCCAGCTTTGGCTGAACAGAAACCCTAGCATCTGAGCTTAAAGCTCAGTTTGGAAGGAGTATAAATATAAATATATAGAATACAAAACCTTATATTTTGTAAATAATACTTATAATACATATTTATATTTATATTCCTTACAGAACGAGCCTAAACGTATCCCGTCATGCATTCAATTTCAACTCTTCCACTATCAATGCAATAATATAATATATATATATATATAAAGCCTTGATGGATGACTGATCCTGCAAATCCATTCAATTCCTTGTTCTGATCAAAGATCGTGTAGAAGCCTGAAATGTATGGAATATGGAGGCAGACATGACGAGTTCAACTCGTCCCACTTGATAAATGAGACACTCTAGCCACGTGCATAGTGTCCTTCGTCATGTCATCCATGGTTCATAGTTCATACATCTTGTGTGTGTTCCGACTTCCAATACATTACGGTATGCCCAACTTCTCTTACTAGCTATTTGCCTTTATTTAAAAGCAAAACAAGAGGAAGGATGTGGACCTCTTTTATCCCAACTTACTACATGGTGAGAATCTCTGAGCTGGAGAAGCAAATGGAGATACCCACTTTAGGGCACCACTGATAGGGGTGTTAATTGGACTGGATTTGGTTCAATCCGGTCCAGTCCAATGCGAGTCCATTACAAATAGACCTGGTCTAATTCAGCCCAATGAATATTTTAGATCATTGTATTGGCTCAGAGACTGTCCAATCTGTTTAAATTCCTGTTAATTTAGATTGGTTTCAACTCAAACCGGGTCCATTGACATCTATGTTCTTATTTTCTATCAACGGACCAGATATCGGCTCAATCCAATATAAATTCATTATGGATGGACCAGGTCCAATCCAATATGTCATATTGGTCCATCCAATCCATCCAAATTCAATATATCTTATTGGTCCGTTAAATCTGTCCAAATAGATTTTGATTTGAATAAAATCCAACCCAAATCCGATCCATTTACACCACTAACTACTGATAACTAGCCAAGAAAGAACATAAATACAGTTTTTTCAGGCTATTCTATTAATTTGGGTGGGTGATCTTATTATTAATTAAATTCTATGTATACCCACTTATCAGACGATGAATTTCAAGGCTGTTTTAATTTAATTTATCAATTTGGGTGGGTTATCTTAGCTATTAATATAATTCTATACCACCCACTTACCCTACGATGAATTTGTGGACAAATATCTAGTTATTTCGGGGCATTAATTCACTACTACGTACTGTTTGTTTTCGGTTTTTTCTGTTCTGGCCTCATTTGCAAACCAGACATGATCCGTCTCTTAGCTTTTTCTGTTTCTCCAGTCTCATCGATATCTCGCTCACCCAATTTCAATTCGAACATGCATGGAGACTGTTAACTATTAAGAGCTGCAAGGTTGAGATCTCAACATCGTGAATTCGTGATGATATGGTTATATCCGATCTGTCAATAT